GTGTGTGTGTGTGTGTGTGTGTGTGTGTGTGTGTGTGTGTGTGTGTCGGGTTATAAAAACAATGCTGCTGATAACATTCCAGAGGATGAATCAGAAAAAGTGAATCAGACATGTTTTAACTTTTACTTGCTGTTACGTATGATGGTTGCAATTCAACTGTGTGTGTTTGTGTGTGTGTGTGTGTGTGTGTGCGCGTAGATGTGGTTGACACCCTGATGTTGGATCCAGCTCTGCTCCTGATTGTCGTTGGCGCTGCGATGCTTCTCATCACATTCCTCGGATGTTTCGGGGCGCTTCGTAACGCCACCTGCCTGCTGAAGACGGTACGACCGGTCACTGATCACGTCGCAGTTTGATTGGTGTGATGTTTGTTTTGCGTGTCGGCGATGCGGAGTTCTTACTGTTCCGGGCAACTGTTGTTTGCTCCTGCAGTTTTTGGGGATCCTGACGGGCGTCCTCTTCCTACAGATCGCTGCTGGGGTCGTGGGATACCTCTTCACTGACATGGTAACGTCACGCTGCTCTCATAGGAAACACAAAGACTTCACTATTATCTCTTGCAAAAATCTAAAAATACTGTTTGAAAACACTTCCAATAAACCAATAATCTCACCGTTTCGTCGCTTGTCCAAGTAAGTGTTTTTTCCATCAACAGCCACAAGGGGCAAGAATGTGTAAACTGCAGCATGACCGCAAGGCGGTAATTCTTGTTTTACAAAAAATAAGATGCGGTCTGACTGGTTTGTTTTGCAAATGCACTCTGTTCAACTGCCCCATCTCCCTTCAAGTACAGTGCACAGTCAGACCTCTAATCCACTGCATGAGAAACAGTCCTGAACATAATTGATATGATATGTATCGCAGTTTAAAAGGGTTCGTAATCAATGAATCAAATGATCTGACAAAAATGAAGGTGAGAAATCTATCGGTGGCTGTTGCAGGACTGTAATAAGTCTGTCCAATCGTTTCATTCGGCCCGAATGTAATGATTGAACGGCTTCCTCCCTAGCCATGCTTGTATTCATTGCTCAGCAATGGAGTCTTCCGTAAGCTGCTAGCTTGACAGCTGTGAGCACAAACAATAGCGATGTTGGTTGTTTACATTCATAATTAGAATTTTGGGGAGGTGGCTTTGGAGGGAGGCCTGAAGGCTGTCAGTGTTGCCGACTTGGCGACCAACTTGCTAGATTTAGCAACTTCTGGAGCTAGCGCTGCTAGCTACTTTCATTGGGGAAAAAAAAGTTACCAACACTGGGCTGGGTTTTTGAAATGGGGAGGTAGTGGCAATGGCCCCTTCCCCACTTTATACCCGCCTACTTCCAGCAGGCCAACAGACAGCTCGTAACACAGACATATAAACACCTTGCAAAGTACTCAAAAACCGCCTCTGTGGTGGTTCCTGCTGAACTCAGTAGGTGTCTCCAGGGCCACATTTGCCATGATGACTCTCACACATAAAAACTCACAAGGTGAAAGCACTATCAGCGTTGCTGTGTCGGCTCGCAACAAACTTAATGTTGTTCTTCAGGTGATGGAGAGGACGGAGAGTCTGATGATGAAGGCCATCGTCCGCTACAGGGAGGACCAGGACCTGGAGAACGCCATCGATTTCATCCAGAAGAAGGTGAAGAATGATTTGTGTCCTTAATGATTCAAGAGGCAATGTCCGGCCTTTCATAGTCCACTTTGCTGGCAGTGAGAGTTTGTCGTGTTTGCAGTTTCAGTGCTGCGGAGTTGAGCGCTATAAGGACTGGTCCAATAACGTCTACTTTGGGTGTTTGGACACAAACCCCAGTCTGGAGGCCTGTGGAGTTCCCTTCTCCTGCTGCATTCGCCTACAGAACCAGGTCAGCCGGTCTGTGAGCATGGTTGCCAACAGGTTTATAAAGGGATGTTTGCACGCCCGGAGTTTGGGTCACTTCCATCTCTGTCAGTTCCTGAAACCAAAGAATCATCATAAAATAAAAAACGTTCCTGTAGTTGTTGAGATATTCACATGTTTGTACTGTAGAGGCTCTTTTAAAAACCTTAACTTAAAGAAATGTCATTTTGCTTGATGTTTTTTTCGGGGGGGGGGGGGGG